CTTCACCATTACTGTCTCCCAGGACAGCACTATCAGGCCCACATTTACTAACTACCAGGACATCACCTCCAGCCCTACAGTTTCTGACTACATGGCCAGTATCAAGGGCAGTACCATTCAGCCCAGACTTTTTATGTTCCCATCTGTTGTAGAAAGCTTCCAGGTTTTCTATGAAAGCAGCTTTGATGTTATCCTCTTTTAATACCCTTGTGATTTTAGTCCACAGATTTATCTCATTTGGGCATACCCAAAAACACTTCCCTGTTTTAATACTGCTTGTAGCTAGTTCTTGGATATCTGCACAAGGGGCGTGACACCAATTTCCACAAAAAAGACAATTTATCCATGTGGAAGCCCGTTTGTTTGATTGACTGCAGACTACACAGAGCTTCATAATGATTTGAATGGTTGATTTAATGTAATTCTACTAGCAACCTCTTGAATATTCTATTAATAACCTCCTTAAATGAAGCTCTAGCTATTTGTATTTCTATTTCTAACTGTACATACTTGTATATTGGACAGCTTACCGTGTAGGTTCCTGATTTATATTTATTGTTTGTGTTTGATAAGGGCGCCTACAACCCCATCCGTTTACAGTCTGCTTTATTGTCCAACGAATCCGTTTGAAACCAATCAAGGGTTCGGACCAGTCAAGGGTTCGGACCAGTCAAGGGTTTGGACCAGTCGAGGGTTCGGAACCAGTCTTATCTGATCAGTGGGTCACTTATTTAAAACATACTGGTCAGTGATTTGGGCTAACACATGAAGGATCTACTGGAAATTATCTACCCGAGTAATATGTGATTTGATTGATAGAAAAGTATAACTTGCGTGTTGAAGAATCGGTGACTGCTGGCAGCTCCTACAATGATGAACGGTCGAGCCTCAACCCTTGTTTATCAATCGCTGTATCTAGCTTTTCTAGGTTTTTTCGTCTCCACCACAATAAATGCTATATTATCACTATAGTTGGCTGGTTGGATACTTCTGATCTTCAGACTTTGAATTCTCTTCAAAATATTTACATATTTCCCTCAAACACATCTCCACTGTCTCTGGCCTCCTCACTGCCAAATTCACATCCTATGATAAGTGTTGGCGCCACTATACTCTCATACAATGCATCTCCCCCTCTTTCCCCTCCTCGTTATTTCTATGGTTCACCTCATCTTTTATAATTCCGTCTGCCAACTTCACTCCCAAATATCGGAACACTTCCTCCATTCTCCCTCCTTCCATCCAATATTCAGTCTTTCATTACAATTTTTTTGTTACCTCTCATCATCTTGCTCTTTCATATGATTACTTAAATTTCATTCTGTTACAAACCTCCCAAATTCTCCCACCAAACCTTTGCAACCTCTCCTCAGAATTTCCCAAAGACACAATGTGATCAACCAAAAGCAACTGCGACAGCTCACACTACGTATTGAATTCTTGGTGTTTCAATCCCACACCTTTCTCCAGCAACTTAGCATTCACTTCTTTTACAACCCACATCTAGAGGACTATGGTGACAACATGTATCCCTGTCTAAGAAATATTTTTGCTGGAAAATAATCTCTCTCCCTTCTACTTACCCTAACCTGAGATGCACTATCCTCATAAAATTCTTAAATGCAGTAAGTAACCTACTACCTGTTCCTTACACTTGCAACATCTGCCACGTTGTTCCCATATCCTCCCTTTTGTTTGCCTTTTTTCAAGCCATAAATTAAGCGGAACTTCATTATCCTTGTCTAAATATAGTTCAACTATGTGCTTCAATATAAACACTTGATCTATACATCCCTTACCATTCCTATAACCCTTTTGCTAATCTGCATTCCTGATTTCTTTCTTATCCTTCGCTCTTTCAATTATAACTATGCTATAAACTTTACCTTTAATACAATGTCTACTGTCCCAGTTTCCTTTATACAGAGGAACTATGCACACTCTCTGCCTTCCATCTTTTCAGAGAGTTATTGAACAGATGCACCAATCTCTTCAGAATTTTAGTGCCACCTGCTTATAACATTTCTGTCTTGATCCCATCACTCCCAGCTACTTTAAACCCTTTCATTTTACCGATTGCCTCAAGCACCTCTCCCACAATCATGTCTGGCTCTTCCTCACTCTTAAAAGATGTTATACTTCCATGGCCTATACTTGAAATCACTGCCTCTTTCTCTTTATCAACATTTAATAACTTCTCAAAATATTTCCTCCATCTTCCCAATACCTCCACTTTCCCATCTAATAACACCCCATTCTATTTTTAACTGTTAAATCCAATTGTTTACTAGGCTTTTTCAACTTATTATTCTCACTCAAAAACTTTTCTTGCTCTCAGTAAAATTTGTTGAAAGAACCCGACTCACCTCATTTGGTCTCCTTTTACACTCCCTCTCCAATACATATATTCCTCCCTCCATACATCACCTCTTTTTATTATAAAAATCGCTCACGCTAACTCTAGGCCAAAAAATCACATCCAGTATTGGCACACACAAATGACAGCAAATAAATTAGTGAGATATTAAAGTCCCATTATGATTCAGAGATTAGTGAATGTTAATCAGACTAAGGGTCGACAGTCTAAATTATTTTTTTTTGTGATCGAGACTCAAAATCTGTTTATTTCAAGAATTTCAGGTATAATGTTAATACCACAGGACTTTGAAAAAAACAATAAATGACATGCCCATGCACTCTGCCCCAGGCCAGACTCGTAGAAATCCGCATTCATCAAGAACTGCAAGAAACCCTTTTCACGTGTCTTAGTAATTTTATGGAGAGGGAGCATGAACACAAGGGCCATCCCACAGTCGCTAAAAATAACAGATATAGCCCCACTCCACAAGGGTGGTAGTAAAGCAACTGCAAAGAGTTACTGACAGATAGTAAAAACGTCCCACATACCCATAAATGGTGTGCAATTGTTTCCCCCATCCATTGCACAACCTTGGGCACATGGGTTTAGACAAGTTGCTCGAGCCTCTCACACTACGTATAAACTATGAAAATAGTCTTGGATGTACTGGAGGACAATCAAACTGCAGATATAGTATACACAGAGTTTGCAAAAGCTTTCGGCAAGCGCGATCATGGCGTACTAACACATAAAATGCATGACAGAGGATTAACAGGGAAAAGTGGGTAGATGCATCTATAACTTTCTAACAAGTAGAAAACAGTCATAGGTGGCTACAGTGAAAAGCTCTGTTACACAAAGTACAATACTGGCTCCCATTCTTTTTCTCATCTTCATATATGACATACAGATATAAGTTACAACATCATGCCCTCCTTTGCTGAAGATACCAGAATTTGCATGACATTATCATCTATCGAGGACACTGCAAATCTTCAAGTGGACATTAACAAAGTCTATAAATGAGTATCAGAAAACCATATGCGGCTCACTGAAGATAAAATTCAATTACTCCGCTATGGAAAACTCGAGGAAATAAAAACTGTATAGGAGTATAAAACAAATTCCAATTACACAATAGAGTGAAAAACTATTGTGAAGGACCTTGGAGTGGTAATGTCAGAGACTCTCATTTTCAAAGATCACAACAATGTATCTTCCAAATCTGCTATGAAAATTATATGAGAGATAATGAGAACCTTCATAACTAGGGATACCAAGACAATGATGATTCTAGTTACATCGCTTGTTCTCTCTAGGCTGAAATATTGCTGTACACTAACGGCCCCTTTCAAGGCAGGTGAAATTGAAGACCTCGAAAATATACTGAGAAGTTTCACTTAACATTTAAGTACCATAATGCATCTAAATTACTGGGAATGGGTGAAGTTCCTAGACCTGTACTCCTTGGAATGCATGTGAGAATGATACAGGATAATATACACTAGGAAAATCCTAGAGAAACTAGTCCCAAACCTACACACAGAAATCACTCCCTATGAAAGCAAAGGACTCGGCAGGTGGTGCAACATCCCCCTAATGAAAAGCAGGGTGCCATGAGTATGCTGAGACACAACGCACTAAGTTACAGGGGCCCAAGATTTTTCAACTGCCTCCCAGCATACAAAAGGCTGTCTTCAAGAGGGAGCTAGACAAACACTTAAAGTCAGTAGCTGACCAGCCAGGCTGTGGTTTGCATGTCGGTCTGCATGCAGTCAGCAGTAACAGCCTGGTGTATCTGGCCCTGATCCACCACAAGGCCTGGTCATGGAGTGGGATACAGTGACTTTGACCCCTCAGAATACTCTCCTGGTATACTCCAGGTAACTTTTTCATTCTTACCATTCTCTTGACCTCATCATTCCTCATGGGGCCTCATCCCTAGGCTCCTGCGCTACCGTTCACAGGATGGATATGGGGTGCACAATAAACTAGCCACTTCGGTGGCAAAATCTAAAAATCATCATCATTCCTCCAACTGCTCCTCTTCTCTCCCACACCCACCCTCTTATATCCACAAACTTTTGCTAAACATTAACCCTGCATTCAAAAAACTAACTCACACTTCTTCGATCTCCTCCTCATTACCTATTCTCTCACTTGCATGTCTTTCTACCAACAATGTCAAAGTCGATTACCAGAAAGTGGTAATTTCTTTGTTTACTAATATATAATTAAATGAATAAACAATCAACTTTATTTACTTCACCGATCCGCCAGTGCAAGATTCATCTTCCGTTGTTTCTTGGTAGTTTTCAAAGCAGAATAAAATCAGGCAATATGTAGTTTAAATATAGTGGTAAATTAAAACAATATACTCAACTGAACTGAGCAGTTTAATGAAGCTTGGTTATGATATTTGTAATGCAAATCAATCGGTTCACATGTTTCAAAATTGAAAATCAAAGAAATAATATAATTCTGTTATAATATTAAAATGTTTATTTGGTCTATTTTCTTGTTACAGTTGTAAGTTTCAAACCGACAAATTAGATTCCTTAATATCAATAAACATTTTATTTCCATTTAACTCAAAAATCTCAAGAAAAAAATGAATAAGTAAGCTATCGTTACTTTGCAGTGCTGACAGACAGAAGCATTGTGGCTCAGAGTGTAATGTTTCTGATCGCTGGCTTCGATACCACGGCCTCAACTCTTGCCTTCTCATCGTTCCTGCTCGCCAAGAACCCCAGACACCAGCAGCGTCTCCGCGAAGAGCTGCAGCAGATAATTCAGGAACATGGTGATATTACCTACCAGGGCATCATGGAAGCCAAGTTTCTTAATGCTTGTCTCATGGGTAAGATACATGAGTGAGTAAAATATGTCAATTGGTTACTGATGGAGTGGAATAATACACCACAAACAAAATTGTTTAGAGTGGCAATTAGTGACTGGCACAAACCACTCTGATGAAGAAGAATGTCCTAGTTTTTGCACTTCTTGTCAACCTCTGACACTTTATTTGTTCTGAGTGGGTTCTCGTTTTCCGATCGCTTCTGAACTTTATCGCCTTTATGGACTATTACAAACACAGCTAATGAATGGCCTGTGAGACCTGGTTGTAATGGGAAGTGGAAGAAACAAACTCAGCAGTAGACTATAATGTATATTTTCCGTTCACCCACTATATACAGATATGTACACTATGTGCAATATGTACAGATAATAATAATGTGTAAACCATGGTGACAGATGGCACAGCAGAAGCCAGAGAGAGTGCACTGTACTCAACAGGTAGGCAAGTCTGCCAATGCTTACCACAAGTGAACCACTTTGCTTCAGCTTTGGCGGGCTTGCCTGTGATGGGTCAATGAACCAAGGTGCTGATTTAATGATGGGTACCCTACTGATAGTTCATTACCTTTGTAAATTGTGAGTTCATTACCTTTGTAAATTGTGAATTCATTACATCTGTAACTTGCTCAGCTATCAAAACTTTGAGGCCCAGTCCCTGGACCCATTATGTACCTCTGTAATCTTTTGACTACCGCCCACAGGATGGGTATGGGGTGCATAATAAACATGTTAAACTAACTACTGATTGTTAAACCCAGTTTGCTGGCTGGGAGGCAGCCTATATGGGAGTGTGACATATGCTGAATGAATTGTAATGTAGTCTTTGCATGCCACACGGACCACAAGAATATGGGTCTGAATTCCTGTAATTTATTTGAAAATATAAATATTTTATGGAGTTTGTTGTGTCGGTTAGGAGCTGCCACAGCTCCCACACTATGGGACCGGGGTTCAAGCCCCGGCACAAGCAGAAACTATGGGCATGTTTACTTACATCTGCTGACACAGTTCACTTAGCAGAAAGCAGGTACCTGAGTGTTCGCTGACTGGAGTGGGTTAAATTCTGAGGGAGAGGATCAAGGGGCGGCTAGGGTATGTGCCGCGCGAATTAAAAAAATATTAGTAAAAATATGAAAATGGAGCTAATCATATAGAACAGTAGCTAAATTCTTTGGCAACACTCTGGTATAAGAATCATTGATACATGATGTTCCTACAAGGAACTATAGTCATTTATAATATATATAGTGATGCTACCACCCGTATCATGCTTGCTCACATGTCGTCAATTTTCATATTTTTTTCCATTTTTTCATTTATTTCTTGTATTATTCTTTCTACCATAATAATTGACTATTTGGCATCATAACAGAGTGGGTGGAGCTAATACAGAGTCTGACAGGCATCCACACCACCGAATATCCTTGGGTAGCAGGTACAACATCTAGCTTGGTTGCGTGCGCTACTCTTATGGACTGTGTGGTCTCGTGGATTAAGGCGTCATGAGTTTTCGCCCACCATGAGGTGGGCCAAAGCAGCATGGGTTCGACTCCTTGGCTAGTCACAGTGTTGTTATTGATCAATACCACTTGTTCGGGGTACAATAATATAATATACTGCTCATTGTACTAAAAGCTATAAATGAAATCGAAAGAAACCCAAAGTATTTCTTCTCCTATGCCAAATCAAAATCGAGAACAACGCCCAGTATTGGGCCCCTACTTAAACAAGATGGGTCCTACACAGATGACAGCAAGGAAATGAGTGAGCTACTCAAGTCCCAATATGACTCAGTTTTTAGCAAGCCGCTAACCAGACTGAGAGTCGAAGATCAAAATGAATTTTTTATGAGAGAGCCACAAAATTTGATTAACACAAGCCTATCCGATGTTATCCTGACGCCAAATGACTTCGAACAGGCGATAAATGACATGCCCATGCACTCTGCCCCAGGGCCAGACTCATGGAACTCTGTGTTCATCAAGAACTGCAAGAAGCCCCTATCACGAGCCTTTTCCATCCTATGGAGAGGGAGCATGGACACGGGGGTCGTCCCTCAGTTACTAAAAACAACAGACATAGCCCCACTCCACAAAGGGGGCAGTAAAGCAACAGCAAAGAACTACAGACCAATAGCACTAACATCCCATATCATAAAAATCTTTGAAAGGGTCCTAAGAAGCAAGATCACAACCCATCTAGAAACCCATCAGTTACACAACCCAGGGCAACATGGGTTTAGAACAGGTCGCTCCTGTCTGTCTCAACTACTGGATCACTACGACAAGGTCCTAAATGCACTAGAAGACAAAAAGAATGCAGATGTAATATATACAGACTTTGCAAAAGCCTTCGACAAGTGTGACCATGGCGTAATATCGCACAAAATGCGCGTTAAAGGAATAACAGGAAAAGTCGGTCGATGGATCTATAATTTCCTCACTAACAGAACACAGAGAGTAGTCGTCAACAGAGTAAAGTCCGAGGCAGCTACGGTGAAAAGCTCTGTTCCACAAGGCACAGTACTAGCTCCCATCTTGTTCCTCATCCTCATATCCGACATAGACAAGGATGTCAGCCACAGCACCGTGTGTACGAAAGGTATATAATACCGACAAGATGAGAGTAAGACACATGTGCAACATCTGGGTATCTTTATTGTAGACGTCTACAATAAAGATACCCAGATGTTGCACATGTGTCTTACTCTCACAGCACCGTGTCTTCCTTTGCAGATGACACCCGAATCTGCATGACAGTGTCTTCCATTGCAGACACTGCAAGGCTCCAGGCGGACATCAACCAAATCTTTCAGTGGGCTGCAGAAAACAATATGAAGTTCAACGATGAGAAATTTCAATTACTCAGATATGGTAAACATGAGGAAATTAAATCTTCATCAGAGTACAAAACAAATTCTGGCCACGAAATAGAGCGAAACACCAACGTCAAAGACCTGGGAGTGATTATGTCGGAGGATCTCACCTTCAAGGACCATAACATTGTATCAATCGCATTGCTAGAAAAATGAAGGAGGGATAATGAAAACCCTTTAAAAACTAGGGAGCCAACCCCATGATGACCCTTCGGTCACTTTTCTATCAGGCTGGAATATTGCTGCACTCAAACAGCCCCTTTCAAGCGGGTGAAATTGCCGACCTAGAAAATGTACAGAAAATTTTACCGGCGCATAAGGAGAAAAAAACCCTAAAATTACGGGGAGCGCTGGGGTTTCAAACCCTGTATCCCTGGAACGCGGGGGGAGGATACATGATTATTACACCTGGAAACCTAGAGGGACTATCCCAACTTGCACACGAAAATCACCACTACGAAAGCAAAAGACTTGGCAGACATCACCATCCCCCCAATAAAAAAGGGGGGGTTTTCACTAGCACGTTAAGGGGACCATACAATAAGTTCAGGGCCCGAACTTTCAACGCCCCCCCAGCACACTGGGGGATTCCCAAACAGCCCCCCGGGCATCTTCAACGGGACTGGAAAGACCAAAGTCTTCTGACAGGGGGCTGTGGCTCGTACGGGGTTTGGGCGCCAGCACAACACCCTGGTTGATCAGGCGCTGACCACCGGGCCGGGTCACAAAACCGGGCCCGGGGGGCGTGACCCCCGAAACTTTCCGGGTAAACTCCGGGTATACCAAACACGAGTAGAATAAAATTTTACCCAAAGGGGCCCACCCCATCGTATTTCCTTGGATACGGGTAAAACCCCGCTTGGTTGGTGTGCTACTCTTAAGGATTGTGTGGTCTCGTGGATTAAGGCATCTATTTTTTGCCCACCATGAGGGGGCAAAAGCAGCATGGTGTGTTAGTTCAACTGGGCTTTTGGGTCCTGGCGAGGCCTAATTTAACCATTTTATATAAAAACCCCTTTTGCCTTTGCAAATGTTGTCAGCCAGGCTGAGTACTGGTGTCAGAACTGGGCGCCCCGGTCAAAACACTTGGTGCAAAACCCTTTTTGGGGGGGGGGGGTGCTTTGACCAAGAAAGGGCCCAAAGGAACACTGGCGGGGAGACTTCGAGGGTGCTGCTGTAGGGACTCGAGCAGCGACGGAATCGAGCGGAGTTTGGGCCTGTGTGCGGCGATTGGAGAGTCTCGGGGGGAGAGACTGGGGAGACATTGGGCAAGTACTGGTTTGAAGTAGTCTTCTGTTGTTTTGTTTTGGGGGCCGTTTCGTCATTTAAATTTATCCTGTCTCACTGTTTAAATGTACCACCCCCATTTATCTAAATTCAAAATTTTCTCCTTTTTCCCAAATATATTATTTACAAGGACTTAATAATAAACTGTGTTGAGGGGAAATAAAATATTCAGCCCCTTTTATATATTCTTTTTCTTATTTTTTTTAAAGTAGGAAAGGGGAGTAGTGTGGTGGGTAGGGAAAAGAAGGTGATGGGTGTTACCATGACCCACTTTACCTTCCCGTAATCCCTTCCTCCCTACTCCTCCCTATTCAACCCTTTACCCTTTTTCCCCAATTATCCATTCTGTTTTAATACCCCCCAACATGACAGGGGTTCAAACCTTGCTAATCGATTGATGTTATTGACCGTACCATTGTTTGAGGCCCCACACCTTTTGGGCCCTTGGGTGCGAGTACAAACATCAGCTTTGGCTGGATGCGCACTCTAAAATTGGTGGCCCAGGATTAAGGCATCATGAGCTTTCGCCCCAGGGGGGGCCCAAAAGAAGCTGGGTTCGACTCCTTGGTTAGTCGCACTTTTTTAAATTATATAATATATATAAACGGAAAGGGGGGACAAAAGGGGACAAAAATTATGGGGGGATAATCTGTTGAGTGCCCTGGTAAAGTGTAGGTAGAGTTAAAATTTTAAAAGTTTTAAGGTAAGACGGAAAAATGGATACGATAACAAGGGGGTTTTGGGAAAAAGGGGGGGCTTGTGACCGGGTGTTTACAGGAAACAAATAAAGTAACAGTATTTAATAAGGCAAAAGGGGTTTTTGTGGCATTTAGGGATTTGGAAAAGGCTATGACAGGGGGATAGGGGGGCAAGTGGCAGTTTTGCAAGTGTAGGGGGTAGGAGGTGGTTTACTGAAAGCAGTAAGATTTTTTACGAGGATAGTGGGGTCAAGTTAGAGTATGTAAAAAAAAGGGAAATTTTTCCCAAAAAAAGTAGGCCTTTAGAC